AACCAAGTGCCCTGTGGTTGTGGAGCCCCGTGTCTTGACGGGGAGCCGGGAGCCACGCAGCCGCAGAGCAGCGCAGCACCCTACAGCCCATGGTACCACTGCTCTACAGAGTCAGCATTGAAAAGAGGGCCTGGACATCAACATTTTATTGCTAGGTTACTGGAGAGATCAGACATACAACAACAAATAAATCATTTAAACAAACAACATAACCTGTCCTGTATAATTTTTCTTGCTGTCTTTATTTTTTTTTTCTTTTTAATCTTTGTGTTAATTCCCACTCACTGGAGCGTACAACCTTTCTGCTGTTTCAAAATTCTCTCCTGTAATATGCCTTCCCCTTGCTGGGGTAAGCCTCAGCATGATGGCTGTGTGGGCCCAGCTGGTTTAAAGGCCTTCTTGAAAGTGCCTTGAAATTTGGTATTTTCCAAGGTCTGTAATGGTAAAAATAAAGGGCTGTCTTATTGTGTATGCAGTACTACTACAGGACATGAGATGTTTACCCACTGCATCAATTTTATAAATTGCAAAGCAAGCTAGCCTACCATTTCCTATTAGATTGAGCGATTGTCTCTATACTGGTTTGGCAATGTTGTAAGAAGATAAAACTACACCAGACAGTAATCTGTACAACAAGCATTTAAAGATAATTCTTACATGCTGCAGGCTAGGTGACACAATTCAGGACCAAAGATAATACTTAAGTGTATTGTAGACTTCTCAGATTGGGCTCCTGCTCATTGTGCAGGAGTTTAACAATATATTCTCTTTTAGAGGGAATATATTCCCCTGGTTTCGGCTGGGATAGAGTTAATTGTCTTCCTAGTAGCTGGCATGGTGCTGTGTTTTGGATTTAGTATGAGAATAATGCTGATAACACACTCATGTTTTAGTTGTTGCTAAGTAGTGCTTATACAAAATCAAGGACTTTTCAGCTTCCCATGCTCTGCCAGGTGCCCAAGAAGCTGGGAGAGGGCACAGCCAGGACAGCTGACTCAAACTGACCAAAGGGCTATTCCATAACATATGACGTCATGCTCGGTATATAAACTGGGGGGGTTGGCCGTGGAGCAGCGATCGCTGCTTGGGAACTGGCTGGGTATTGGTCGGTGGGTGGTGAGTGGTTGCATCACTTGTTTTTCCTGGGTTTTGTTCCTCTTTTTTGTTGTTGTTGTTGTTTTCTTTTTAATTACAATTTATTATTATTATTATTACTGTTACTATTATTACTATTTTATTTTATTTCTATTATTAAACTGTTCTTAACCCACAAGTTTTCTTACTTTTTCCCTTCCAGTTGTCTCCCACATCCCACCTATGTGGGAAGGTGACCAAGCGGCTGTGTGGTGCTTGGTTGCTGTCTGGGGTTAAATCACAACAACAGGAGAAGGTACAATGGTGACCAGTTATTATTAATCCTCCTTGCACTTTCCACTAAATCTTCTTGTTTCATAGCTTTTGACGCATTTCAGCCAGACCAAGTGAAATACTTCTTGTGCAGCTGTGCCAGGTTGAGAGTGGTTTTGTTCAATTTCACACACTTTAGCCTGCAGAGGTCAGGACAAAAGCCGTTGTTCTTACTTACATTAAAACTGTTTCCATGTCTTCTGTTCACACTTCTCTCTCCTCCCCCCTTGCCTCCATAACCCCCTGCTTAAAGATAGCATATTGACTGCATGGAGTAGTAACATGAGAGCGAGAAGAGGGAATACTCCTGAGCATCTCTTCCTATGATGAGGCACTCAAGTTGGATCAAGTGAGAGGCTGTAAAGATCTGCATTTGTATGACTGCAACTGAACATGCTGAACATTTACTCTCTGTTTCTGGAAGCTTCAACTCTTGCCATGCTGCGCTGTGCATTTGCCTCCTCCCACCACCACGAAAAAACAGTGAAACAAAATGTCCTGCCTTCTGGACGTACTTATGCTAAGATTCCCCTCACTGCGTGTCTGTGGGAGGCTTTGAAAATGAAGGAGCTGAGGAGCCCAAAAGCCTTTGTGGACTGTGGGTCGCCAAGTGAAACGAGTCCCAGAAAAACACGGCGTGTCAGCACAGCTTGCTCAACATGAAATGGCAACTCAGCAAGTCAGTTTAAAGAGAAAGAGTGACTTAAGAATACCTGGAGATAATTTTATAACTGGCAAGACAAAAAAGCAGATGGTTTCTTAAGCCTTGGTAAGGGAACAGACACATGTTACTAGAGGTAACTGAGAAACCTGATTCCCAGCTAAAAAGCTGTGTATAGGGATCCAGTACAGAGGGAGAGAGGATGAAGAACAGGAACACTCTCCTGTAAAGGTAGCAGGGGGTGCTGGGTTGCCTGATCCTTTTTATTGGAGTAAAATAAAGCCATTTTGAGAGGTGCTTGGCCCAGGTGACTGCCTGGACACTGCTTAGAGTGGATGCCTGTAAGAGCAGCCTAGAGGCATGGACTGCCAAATCATCTTAAAATGATAAATAAAAAGTACATGTTTGGAAATATTTAAAAACAGTCATTCATTTCTGAGGGCAGACAGCTGGAGGAAAAATAATTGAATGCAAATATATTAAAATTACAAAGGGAGAAGCAGGTGGCTTATGCATTAATGTGGAGTCCTGGCCACTCAGTGAGTCTTGCTAGTTGGCCTTTCCATCAACTCAAATTTTGCTACACAACTTATGTTGACAACTCAATCCTTATTTACTGTGATTCAAAATGCACTAAAATGGTGTCCAGACCTGGGATCTCAACCATAAATTTAAAATCATTTATATGTGAAGACCAAGGCAGCAGCTAAGTATCACCGCCAAACCTGGAACTAATTACCCAAAGATGCACAACTAACTTATCCCCTGTGATCCCCTCTGCAACACTGTCTCTTCTTATGCCATTGCAGCCTGCAAGAAGCATAGGAGAAGAGGTGAGCCTTGCTGTGCGGCTCAAGCTCTATTTGAAGTGTGCATATGGACTATAGAAAACCAACACAACAGACCTGCAGGCTGCAGGTCTGGCTCCAGCCTCCTGCCCATTGAGTAGGGTCCATTTGAAGCAGTGGCTGGAGAAGGTGTTTCCTGAACTCTCCTCAAGATCAGCATCTTCAGTGTCACTGGTCATTTTTTCTGCATGTAGTACAGAAAGGAACGTTGCTTCCTCAGGGAAGCAATCGTACAGGCACTGTACAGGAGTGCTGCTCTTCAGGCTGATTGACCCTTGTAGACCAAAGTAACATTTGTGGTCAAGAACAAGGCTAATGATCACAGCAAGATCCATATCCGAAAGTTACAATCTCACAGCTGGGGAAAAATGAAAAAGATTTAAAAGGCTTTCCTAAAAAATGCTGCTATATCATCATCCTGTAACAGCCAGGATCTCATAATGTCATCAAGCAGCAAACTCTAACAATAAATGTCCCCGCAAAGCTTCAATAAAAACAGCAGGTCTCACTCTCTCTCAATCTATCCTGATGGAGTTGTTCCATTTTTTATAAATATTTAAATATTCATTCAACAAGAGGGAGAGACTGACAGTAGCTTGGTACTGAAGACACTCGCGAGGGATCTCTCAGACCCAGATTCAAGTTCTCTCACAGAATAAGAAGAAGTATTTCTCCAGGGTTTGAATCAGGATTTTTTTCTCTGTTCCAGGACACATTGCTGGTCAAGAGCAGAGAGAAAGGAGGAGACTTGCCCTGGGACAGTGCGTAGTCTGGTTATTGGGCATTCAGCTGGGAAGTGAAGGAGATGCTCTTAACCTAAGTGAATGCCTTAACTAAGGCTGTTGGGGTAAGCAGAGGAGAGGTTTGATACAGACAGGAAAAGAGAGATGAAAATTGAAAAGTAGAAAAACAAAAACAAGCTAAGAAAAGAGAGAAGAGATAACAAGAAAATGCATGGAAAGTTGTTGTAAGACAGCTGGAAAAGAAATATTTTGAGTGAAGCACTGCTGGACACTTACAGACAGAAAAATGTGGCCATAGGGAGGGACAATTGCAGAATCAAGAAGCAGACCAACATACTCAGGGATCCGAATTACTGAAAAACTGGCAAATAAATCCCATATTTTGATAGAAAATGAAAAAAATGTTGAAAATCAGTCTGGAGGCCATTCCTGTGGGCAGTAAGGATGCTCCAGTAGTTTCAAGTCCTGTTTCAGGAAGGACCTGACTACACATTTGAGTTATCTAGGTGCTTCAAAGGCTCCAGCAAATTCTACTTTTTCCTTCTTGGTTTCCCCAGTGACTCACACTTCTTTATCTGTGTCAGTGCAATGTCCTCACAAGCTTTGCAATGGACTCTGCTAGGAGCTAAAATACCCTCCAAAGCCCTGAAATGACTTTTTGTGCTGTCTTGTGACTTTATTTATAAGGCTGCATGTTTGTATACTACACTGCTTTCAGTTCCTCATGCCCATGTACAGAGAGGTATGCTGTCATTCTCCATCAGCAAGCCTAGCATGCCTCCACATCTCTGCTGGTTTAGGTGAAGAACACATCAGTAACTGCACAAGAGGTTTAGGTCAGAGGTTGGGATTTTGCTGTGTAAAAGATGCGGAGGCTTGACCTGAGACAAAAAAGCATATTAACTATGTGTTGAGCTTTTAGTTTAGAAGAGCACCTTAAAACCCTGTAGGGCTTTTTTGCTTCATATCGCTCACACAGGCTCAACAGCAAGCTCAAGAAAATCTTGCTAAAATTATGCAACAAACAAATTGCTAAAAAGCTCAGGTAAGCCCCGTTGGTTTTTTAAGGTGACAATGCTGAGGGGGAAGCTCGGGTTTTGAACAGGATGAAATATTTTCTCATATTATGAACGGTGTTCTAAATATATTGCATTTGGGTCTTGTAAAGTACAATTTTTTTGGTGAAAGCAGAAGAACAGTAATCATAACAAAGAATTAGTTACTAAGTTTCTCATGATCTAAAATACTAAGTAGTCCTTTTTTTTTGTCAGACGCGTTCTTAAAGATACCAACGCTGCAGAGACACCACACTAGTTTCTTACAGATGTGTAAGACCCCATCCAACTTCCATAGAGTCAGAGGAAAGTGGATCAGGCTCCATCTTTCTATCTGCATGGAATTCAAGCTCTTGAGCTACAGAGATTTTTGACCACCTCCCTGCATGGGAGGCTCCCAGGGCTGCCTGCCACTCCCAGCTCCCTCTGTCTCTCTCAGGAGCTGACAGTCTTATCGTGGCCTCCGTGGCACACTGAGCTGTATATTTATGTCTCCATTCCCTTGTCTTCCGACCCCCTGTCTGGCAACAAAATAAAGAGTACTGAAGTAGCATAAAGGCAAAATTGATCACAGCATGGGTTTGCTACGTTATTACCTCCTTCCTTATCCCTTCCACTTCCAGGACATACGAAAATGATTCTTATGCAAACTGAATCGAAACCAACAGGAGTGACTCAGAGAAACCTACAGATCCCAAAAAGCTGGAAATTAACTGAATTTTAATTCTATCAGGAAGCTCAGAAATGTAGACTTCACTGGTTCTTTATTATTTTGATAATTTTTTTTAATTGGGACAAAAATAATCTAAGCTCATGTCTAGCCCTATGGTGCTTCTTTAAAGATTAAAAAGCAGTAAGATAATGAAGAATGCAAATGTTCAGAGAGCTGCTCACAGGGAGATGCTGTTTGAAGTAACAGTTCTCGCTCCCCCTCTGCTGCAGCTGGGTTGCTTTTAATTATTAGCAAGGAAAATAACAGGTTCAGTAGATGTGGATGCAAGTTCATTTTCACGATCAGTTGACTTCTGCAACTTTCACACCAACACTGATTTTGAGAACATGGACAAGTTTACACTAATGATGATTAAGAGTATTGCTCATAATTCTGAATATTAAATAGAGCATAGGGATAATATGAAGGGTGCTTTTGGATCACAATCATGAGGACTGTCACAAAGCACTACCTTAAAAACTAGTGTTCAATCCCCAGCTTTCACACGCACATCTCAGTGGCCTTAGACAAGTACATGTGATTTACAACCACTCAGACACAGATTTTCCTTTCCCAAAAGGCTACAATAACACCTCAGTTTGAACATAATGCAGAGCAACTGCACATGGGGGCGTGAGATCCCCATCACATGCACGGAAAGATGGGAGAAGCTGCAAATGGAGATTGGTTACTTTGCCACCGCCTGACCTGCCCCAGAGGTAGGGGGAGTTGTGTACAGGGCTGCCTTTAGAGCAGGATAGAAAATAATATCCATCAATATCCATCAGAAGCTTAGATCCAAAGGATCATTTCCACCTTTTCTGCTACACATGAGATGAAAAACTGTTACATACCTTACTATTCAGCAGACTATGGTCAACCAAGAGAGGATGGTAAAGAGAGAGACATACACAGATAGATGTGTACCTGCAGTCAATCACTTACTTTGGATTTCCGGCCCCTGGTTTCTTTCTCCGGAATATGTTGAGGAAAGTGTTGGACTTGCAAGGTGCCTTGCCATCCCCGACATGCATACGCACCACATCTGAGGTGGTGAAGGCACTGCGGACGTTCCTCTCAGGCTTGGCTATGATGATGTACATCTTAGGAGTGAACATGCACCCCAGCGCCACTGTCACACTCAGGCTCACTGCAAAACATGTGGTGATGATCTTGTAGTTGCTCCCAAAATAGATAGGCACAAAGGCCAGCCAGATGATACAAGTGGTGTACATGGTGAATGCAATGTACTTGGCCTCATTGAAATTGGCAGGCACATTGCGAGTCTTGAAGGCATAGTATGTGCAGCTCATGATGAGGAGTCCATTGTAGCCCACAGGAGCCACGACACCTAGGTTGCTGGTGTTGCAGATAAGGTAAACTTCTTTAATGCTGGGGTAGGAGAGGATGGGCATCGGGGGCTCCAGGATGATCAGCGTGATCACCAATGTCAGCTGCACGCTGATCAAAATGGAGGCAATGACCACTTGGGCCCATGCGCTCATGAAACGTGGCTTGCGTGTACAGATCTTCTTTTTGCTGCCCGCCAGGATGCGTGCAATGCGGTTGGTTTTGGTCACAAGGGCAGAATAGCACATGGCAGAGGAGAGACCCACCAGAAGGCGCTGGAGGTAGCAGGATGTCGTGGTGGGTTTAGCTATAAGGGTGAAAGGGCAGACGTAACCCAGAAAGATGCCAGCAAGGATAATGTAGCAGAGCTCCCGGCTGGAGGATTTGACAACAGGGGTGTCCCTGTAGAGCACAAAGATAAGGGTGACAAACATGGTGACCAGGATCCCCAGGCAGGAAAAGACCACAGCCACAATAGACTCTATATTGCTCCACTGGAGGTACTTTACAGGGATGGGTTCACAGCCTGCAGTGTACAGAAAAGAAAGAGAGTGTTAGAAAGGTAGCTGTTTGAAGAAAGAACTTTTTTTCTGGCTCCCAATATAATCCAAACATTAGCTTGTGCCTATGTGCCATAGATTATTGGAACGATTTTACAAAGGAGTGAACTGCAGCGTGGAAAAGTTTGGATGAAGTATGTTCAAAAAACAGCCATCAGTTTTGGGTGTCCCAAACATGTGCTCCTGATGCTACAAAGAGAAATGAGATCTGGAATATTTTTCATAATTTTTCGTGAGATACCTGCTGACAAGCCCAGCCTATCAAAGGCAGAGCTGGGAACAGAACCCAGACAAACTCATCAACATCCCTTCATTTCAGCAGGGAAAGCACTTTTACAAATCAGCATGGTAGCTTGTTGGCCTCCTCAGACTAACTTATTTTAATCTTTATCAAAATCACTATAACTTGACCCACTACATTTTTGTGAGGGTGATTTTATAAATAATAGAAGTTAATTAGAGATCTATGGGCAGAAAAATGGTAATAAATACAAAGTTGTAATGGAACTACGCCATAGATATTGTACCTCCTTAGTATATTTCTGATTTTTTTCCCTTAACATTACCTTATTCTCATTTTGTCAAACCCTCTGTTCATTGTTTTTCCACTAAATAATGTGATTTAATTCTTATGGAAAAGTCAAACCCACAAAATATGCATGACTTCAAAAAAGAACTGGAAAGGCTCTCCTTTATGACTAGCACAGATGTGCAAACATAGGTATCAGTTAAGATGGTACTTAATTGCTCTCTCCCACACTCAAGTTGAAGGAGTCTCTGGCTACCTTCCTCACTGTGCTCAAGATGTAATATCAGCAATAAACATTACAGAGAAAATAAAATCCTCTGTGTTAATAGGATGTTACGGTTGTGAAGCTGAGTTACTACAAACCTTCAATTCAGGCTTTTCCTAATTTCTGTTCTTGACTTAATAGTGCCAAAATGCTTTTAACATGTTTCTGTATCCCAAGGTAAGTATCCATAGCCTCCTCTACTTCTTGTTTCTGTCCTCCTTCAGTTTCCCTTGGACCCAGCTCACCTTTTGCACCTTTCCCCCACGTCTCAAGTATCTTTCCTCCCAGTCCCTCACAGTCCCTGTCTCAGTTCCCCTTCCAGTTCATTTCTTTCCTAGCCAGTCACCTCTCCACCCAGATGTCTCCATTATGAACACTGCTGGTCCAGCTTTTCACATCCTGGACCGGCTTCTCATCACCTCTGCCTGTCTGCGTTGTTGGACACAGCTGAGAAGAGCAGGGAAAAGGCAGCAGTGTCAGTGAGCTTGTAAGAGAGGCATTTTTTTCCTCTCACTTTTGCTGCTAAATCTTAGCAAGGGCCTTGATATTTTGATGAGCAAAGTCATGCTCAGACCCTTCCTCCTCAGTATGGAGTATATCTGCAGAAACCAAGCTCTATGAACTAAAAGCTTCTGAGGCCCACAGTTTTGCTCAATTTATATGCATCTTCCACAGGGTGACACAAAATTACCAACCGATACCTCTACCAAAATGTAAAGACCTTCCTTCCAAATATAGGTGAATTAAGCAGAGGTATGGATCAGTGTTGAACTTATTGTGCTTACTGAACTTACTGAACTTACTTACTGTAACCTCATTTTGAGAAATGGAAGAAGAAAAAATGTTTTTTGTTGAAATTAAAAAAAAATCAGCCTGAGGCAAAGTCCTGACATGGAAAATTTCTGCTTAAACTTTTAAGGTCTGCCAATGTCATATGAACTGAAGGAAAGTCTTATAATTCTGTACTCTTTGTCTCTAAGAGTACCAGGCTGACTTAACTACAGGTAATGTTGTCTACTTAACTACAGGTAATGATGTTACAGGTACCTAGAACATCAAAAACAATAGAAATAACAGTATGTGGAAGTGGAGGTCTTATTTCATAAAGAAAAGGAATTCTGTTTTGCTCAAACTGGTCTGCTCAAGACTTAGATAGGTGAGGAAACCTGTTCTTCCAGCCAGTATTTTTATGGTGAAATATGAAGGAAAAGATTTTATTAGAAGTGGGAGCATCTGGCCATTGGCCACAGCAGCCCTGAGTGGAACTTGGCTCCTTCTTTGATTTAATAAAAGGCTAAGAATTAGAAGCTCCCGCTCATTGATTAATACATACAAAGCTCTTAAGAAGCCAGTCTGTGGTTGCTGGAAGGGTTAAATTTCAATGTGGGCTTTAAGCTTAGCAACATCAAGCGATACTCATTCGATCTCAAACAATATTTTCAGAGTCAGTGTCATTCCTGTGCACCAGCAAGCCCCAAGAGCCACATATGCTACAAACATTGCAAAAGGCTGCCTGCACTGCTTATATCAGCAAACAGTTGTTGGTTGTCAGCACCTGTGAAGGTGGATCATTTCCCAGTTAGGAGAAAGTGGGCTAGGGAACCTTGTTGAGACTGAGGGAGGATACCCAGGAAATGGTGTACTTACAAGTTTAAAAAAAAAAAAAGCAACACAAAAATCCCCCCAAAACAGCACAACTAACCTAAACCTCAGAAAATCAGAGAATTAGTGGCAAAAGCTTCACAGTTAAAAGTTTCTAGTAAAAACCTGTTTGGTAGCTTTAATCTACTATTTTCACTGCACTTTAACCATGAATCGTTTTCTAGAGCAGAAAGCTAATTTATTTTTAATTTTTTTTTTTTAATTATACTCATACTGCAAGGCCAGTAAGACAATCCAGGATGTTTTCTGAGGTCATTAACACATCCCAGGTAACTGATGGCCCCAAACCTTCATGATTCATATCATAATAACTCCATTATACTTCCTGTCCTATCTTGTTTTATTGCTTATTTAAGATGATTTATGTAAACTAGGTTTACTAGCTTGACATTCATTCTTCTTATATTAAATTCTGATACTGTAAAAGATATCTCCTCTTCTTGGCACAAGGCCTTAATACACTAGTTTTAGTGACTATTTGTCAGGTCAGGTTTTTATCATCTGTGGTGAGAAATCCTTTGTGCCTGCTGACTCCACTTCACTGAACACATATTTAGGGGAAGCAATCTAAAAAAAAATTTGTACATTTAAAAATAAAATTTAAATGTCAAGGATTGCTGAGCAACAGAGACTAATTTCAAATGGAGAGAATGAGCACCTTGAAAAGCATGTCTTAGGAAATGGGTTAGTATGTGCCTCACATTTTTTAAAAGGACTAAGGATTTTAGAGCCTCCATCTGTGATGGAAAATGGGCCTAAAACTGCATACATGTTTAGCATTTAAGATTTAAGGCAAAGGGAAAAACAATCTGAAATGTGAGATGTTAACGTCGGTGTCTAGATGCTATGGTGACTGGCAGGGTATGAATACAACATACAAGAGCAAGCTATAAAAACACATCTGATGGGAGAAATCCTGGCAAGAAAAGAGAATTCCAAATTAAATGGTACCAATGGTGACTCCCACAAAGTTCAAGAGCTAGAGTTTATCTAGCTCAATCTCCCTTTTCTAGAGGTTAGGATGGCATCAGCTTTTCTTCACAACTTTGTATTCAAGTAAATGAATTGCAGGGGTTAAAAAAAGAGGGTTTTTTTCCCCAATAAGACAGAATGAAGAAGCTGTGCAGGAGCAGACTGCCATTTTGATGTTCTCTAGGAAATCAGTCGATGGCTATACTGTCAGTTGGCTGGTGCTACTGTGATTTTAGAACAGTAGCAGTCCAGCCTCCTTGCTGAGAGGAAACACAAATCAGCAGGTCATCTACTGATTTCATTAAAAGTTAATAGATTGCAACATGCCCCTGAGATTTTTTCCAGCACTGATGCTTTCCTCAACTGCTTTCAGCAGTGCCTGTCATTTTGACATGCTCTCTTTTGAGCTATTTGGGGCAGCTGGTAGCACTGAACCATATTCACTCAAGTGCACATTGATCTCTCACTATGTTCTTGTTCTGCCTTATTGACTAAAAAGAAGTCCCAGTTTTCTTCCCTGAATAGTAGATACAAACAATTCTGCGAACCTCCAAGACTAACAGAACCCAGTTGTCTATGGATATCTGCTTTAAAATTAGCAGACACTGGTGTCCTAGCAGGTGGGAGTTGAATATGAGCTTTTCCAATGGTAAGGACATTTATGAAGGGTGCTGTGGATTTTCCAGTGTCTAGTAATACAAGATGTTTTCCCACAATTGGGGCCCTTACAGAAGGTATTTTTCAAGAACTCCTCTTCTTGAAACCCACTTACATGAAACTTGAAGGAACTGAATGACCACTGAGATTTCTGTATCCTGACAAGTCTGTTTGAAGTAGGTTCAGTTGCACACCAGAGAGGGGAGGGGTTGGGGTGAGAAGTATGGGATATAGACAGATACACGCACATCTGGGACATGGCCATAGCTTATTTTCCGTAGAAAACCAAGATAGAAAATGCATCAAGTTTCCCTGTGTATTGTGATTGATAATATATTTTTAGCTGGAGAAGTGGTGAGGTTTCCCTCCCAAAACAATCATCTGAAAGCTCACTTGGCTTCAGTGACTAGCTTAACAGTATCTCTTGGAACTATTTAATCGAGGTTTGAGTACTTTGTCTATGTGTTAAATGCTGCAGCAACATCTAGTTGCCAGCCAGTCATATTAAAGGATAAAGATGTGATAAGTTGCACATTTGATCCTCAGCTAGGTAGTCAGATTGTTTCTCTGACTAGGACTGATGCCCTGCTGAATACTGGCAGCCAAGTTTTGCAGATGCAGCATGGAGCAGAGGTGCCAGTAGTCTTTTACCATGATACAAAGCAAACCCAAGGTCAAGGTGGTGCTTCTCAGTGCATTAAATCTATTTTCTTGGCATAATGGTTACTGCAAATCCCAGAGCAGGTGTGGAGGTTGACCTTGATAGGTACGAAATAACAGAAAGATGCCATAGCATACAACTCAACCAAAGCATATACACAGGGGAGACCAATTCTAGCTGTTTCTCTTTCTTCTGCCAACCTTTCTTAGAATTTTGTTGACATTCCTCTTGCTGGCGGTGCAGTGAGAATGATCTTTATACCAAACGGAAGTCTGGTAGTCAGTTACTGAATGGCCTGAAATCCCAGATAAAGTATTAACTAATTGTATGGTAGAACAATCAGAAAAAGTATCAAGTCAATCTGACAAGGATGCACTGAGCTCTTGTGATAATCACTGCCAAAATTGCAGCAAATTCTGCTTTCATTAGTGGTCTTAATAGCTTTATCAATGCTTATGCTGAGTGAAGGGGAGGAACAGACAATGTTGTTTCTTCTTGGTAGAAAATTTCCATCTTTATTGTCACAGCTGTTGAACTGAGCCAAAAGATACAGTACTTTTCACTCACCCTAAACTGCATTGGGATGTGTGTTTAAGTATGTACCTTTAATATCTCTGCGTGTTGCCACCTTACTCTCCACCACACACTGTTCTGCTTGTGCCCTGTAAAGTGGGAATGTGTTTGGAGGGACACGTCCCTACCTGTCAGGTCAGCGTTCGGCCACCAGCCAAGCTCACAGGCTTTACATGTGAATTCATCCTGAACAAATTCATTCTCCTTGCAAGCAGTGCAAATCCAGCAGCAACTCACTTCTCCTTTCCTGATCACCTGTAATGCAAAATACATCCTCAGCTATGATCCTCTATAAGACAACACAGAAGCCCCCCCAGCAAACAGATACCACCTGCACTGTTTAAAATATGACAGGATTCCTGTGTATGGTGCATTTGAAATGACTAGAAAACATGAATCCTGATTGTGTATCTACCCATGCATATTAAAATTTGTGCTTATGAGTTCAAGGATAATCTCTGGGGACAATTCTATTTTGTTTTAGGGGGAGCAGTTCTGAGTTAAAAGTGCAAAACCATTTTCCATTTGGTACAGAGGCATGGTGAGTGTTATATTTTCAATCAGACTTGAGAAGAGGCTTAATCTGAGAGAAGGTTCAGGTCAGGACAAGTAGTTCAGCTCATGCTTAATATCTATTGCACAGTAAAAAGCAGTAAACAAAGTCAAAGGTTAGAAAAGAGAGTGATTCATGCATATACATATATATACACACACAAGCACATGCACACACACATAAATTCCACTTTACGTGGAAGTCTCTTTGGCACTTATTACACTAGTGTAAATAGAAATTCAAATAAGAGCAAATAAAAAAATATACTGCTAAAAGGATGCAATGGGTCTTAGTACAAAATAAAAACAATATGTGGTGACCAAGAGCATGCTTCGGAACAAGCTCTTTTGGAGACAAATGTCCCTGAAAGCTGTATCTTTCTCTTTGGCACTTATTACACTAGTGTAAATAGAAATTCAAATAAGAGCAAATTAAAAAATATACTGCTAAAAGGATGCAATGTGTCCTAGTACAAAATAAAAACAATATGTGGTGACCAAGAGCATGCTTCGGAACAAGCTCTTTTGGAGACAAATGTCCCTGAAAGCTGTATCTTTCTCCTCTGTGAAGGCTGCTAAGTGTAAGGATCTAATGTTGAAAGATGGTTTTCCTTGTCTTGACTCCTAGTTTCATTATGCTGAGGCTGAAAGAAAGGTTAAGGATATCTCCAGCTCATGGGGCTCCAGCAAAGACTCTGGCTCTGTTTGCCAGAAAGGAGGAATCCAGCCTTCTCTCCAGGATCTTCCTATCCAGCTATATGCAGAGCTAAGTGCAGTAGTGAAATACAAAATGTTTGTTTTATTGAATGCTGGCTTTGTGGGCTTTTTTTGTTAACATTTTCTTGTGCAGTCTGTGGAGAGAGTCCAACAGACTTCAATGGAAGCCGAAGCTGGCATTTTGTATGCATGGTGTTTACATATACACACATACACAAACTGCACAATCTCAAAAACAGGGAAAAGATATTTTGGAGGGTAGTAAATACCGATAATGTTTCCCCTCCAAGACTGTTGGAGTATGTCACTACGTCTTTGCCAAATCATCAATCACTTATTGCTTAGAGTAGCAATATAAAATTAAAAAGCTGCAAATGTGCTTATTAAATGAAATTAGAAAGGAAGGTCTGCTCTAAGGTGATTTTCCTGAATGGGCTTCTTGCCATTTTAAACTTCCTGCATCCATACCATTTTGATAGTGGTGGAACATATCTTTATATCATCCAGACATGGCAGGTGGCAAATTATTTGTAGCTTGAGACAAGTGCTACTGTTTGGTAAACACAGAGTGATTTCATTTGTGTTTCCATGCCTCTTGTTGTGAACGTGAGACACAAATATGCTTCCCCCCCCCCCCGCGCCGCGCGCTCTCA